ATCATATTGCCAAACATGAAACACCAGAGGCTCAATCCTTTGGAGTTCCCTCCAAAAAGGTAAAAGTAACTTTACATAGATAACAGCTATTGGCACAAGATTTGTTGTACTTAAATGCTGTCCAAAGGAATGACTCATACAAGGCAGCTTTCAATTTTAATCAACATAAACCCCTGCTTCAAACTTGCAGTCAGCGTAAAACCTTACACGACCTCTCACACTTTTTACAGTCAAATCTACAGATATTTGCATATTCTAAAGAACTATAAAGCTGCTTTACTTTTTATATCAATTAACATTATTGGTCACGTTCCATTACGATGCAAATCTGTTGTGCACAAAGAAACATAGGAACTATGTACCACAGATGCTTAGTACAGCTTCACAGAGCACCCCGCTGTGAGAAACTGCAACACCCAAAATTTCTTTATTGCCATTATTTTAAAGGCTTGGGTGTGGATGCCTCTTGTCACCTGTCCAGCTTAGTTAACTCTCTGGGATTTCCCTTTTCAAATATGAGTAGCAGAGGTCAGGAGTTAGAAGAAAAGCTGTGATTGTCTGGGAACCTGCAAAAGGAACCATCACACTGAATTTAGCACGAGCGTGCACAGGAAAAGAAATAAATCTGGTGTCCCCTTAAGTTCTGGGGCATGGTTTCCACTATATTCACCTTTAGTAAAGAAGATGTAACATCAGCTTCTATGAAGCACTTATACGATCACAAATTTGTTCGGCAGCTTCCCCCCCCTTTTAAACTGTTCTTTTCTTGGGTCCCTACTGCTAAGGGACAACTACTTGCACTACTTGCAATTTCAGCAATGTGAATAAGTGGAAATCTGAATTCATAGCTTCATCTTTCATAGAATCATAGAATGGGTTAGGTTGGAAAGGACCTTGAAGATCATCGAGTTCCAACCCCCCTGCCATGGGCAGGGACACCTCCCACTAGACCAGGCTGCCCAAGGCCACGTCCAGCCTGGCCTTGAACACCTCCAGGGATGGGGCCTCAACAACCTCTCTGGGCAACCTGTTCCAGTGCCTTACCACCCTTAAAGCGAAAAACTTCTTCCTAATGTTTAATCTAAACCTGCCCTCTTCCAGTTTAAAGCCAATAAAAATCCCCCAATAAAAATCTTCTTGACCTGACCATCTTACATTGAAGTAATTGTATTAGAAACACTTCAGTAATAAAGTTTCAGGACACTTCACAAATAAAAAACACTTGAACATCATTGACCATAATTCAATATGTAAGAAATAAGCATGTGAAAAATCTCACAAGATTTGAAGTTTCTTGAAAAGACATGCAGAAGACAGCAAGAAACTACTCTGCGAGTGATAGCAAAGCAGCTCCATCTGCACCAACCTGCTGGGAGATGTGGAAAATCACCTTTTTTGCTTTATTTATTTATTAATTTCATCAATTCACCCAAGCAAAAGTCAAATTTTGCTTTAAGTTTGTACTAGACCAACGCACACTGAAAGCGAGTTTAGTGAAAGCTTAAAAACATGTTACTTAACAGACATGTTTCATGGAAGTTCTCTGAAACTGACTCAGGACCTCTGGTCACAGAAGTCTTTCAAACTCAGAGCAATGGATGCAAAAGAAATCAACACTGCAGGGTAAAACAGGGCTACGCTTCCAGTAATGTCCACTTTCTGGGCTGTGAATTAGCCAAGCTCTGCTTTCCACCACTGATCCTAACTGTAGCACAACAGGTGGGAATTATGTGCCTTCCCCTATTGTCTGAAGGTGTTTAACGTCATCTCCTTTGTCTGAAAAACATAAACCAGGATCGTAAGCGTAAATGTCTTTTTATAGCCTAGTTTGCACAAATTTCAGTATGATCCATGGGTTTGTATCATAGTCCTCTATGTCCTCATGGCCTTGGATAACAGATAGCCACTTGTATTCCCACCAATTGCTGGAAATATAAATTCACTGCAGCAAAGCCAAAACCAACCCCCATTCATAATCCTACAGAGAGTATTGCAAAATTTGGGTTATTCCGATTTTGTCTTTTCTATTCAAATAGGGAAGTATAGCCTAATAGACCTTTTCAATTAAAATCTTCCAGTTTAACACATAATTTCTTCTTACTTTTGGAGTTTGTAACACTCTCTGCTGTTTCCTTTATGCTTTCTGCTTCACTTTCACCTAAAATTTGAATGTGACGCTTCAGCTCTCTCCCTTACGTTTAAGACTGCTTTCTGCTCCAGTACTGCATGGGTGAGAAGAAAAGCGCCTCAGAAGCGGTGCTGTAGGTAGCAGTTCTTTCTCTCAGCTGTCAGTGCAGCAACAAATGCTTGTTAAATACATTTGTATAGATCAGCCCTTCCGGCTCTTCAAATCTGCAAGACTTTTTAGGGCATGTTAAGATTATACATACATGAGAAATTTTTAAGAGAAGACATTCAAACAGGAGGAGAAAAGTCTTAACTCTCCGGGTCATCACTGGCACATGCATCACTATGACCATCAGGGTTGCTGAAAACCTACTTAAAAACGTTCTTCAGAAAAAGATTCACCATTTTAACTAATGGACTTTATATTGTTTATGAACTGGCATGCTACAAGGCATCTGAAAGTTTCTCTTACTATTTCTAGGACAATTAGCATGAAAATAGAATGGTGTAATCTTGTTTAGCACTTAGGTGTCTTTCCATTTTAGGCCATAGCTGGGTCTGGAGCAGCCATGCAAAGCAGAGCAAGAATTTAACAGTGCCTTTAAAGAAAGATCATCCCCCTCTTCTACTGAATAAAGAAAATTAAGATAAAAATCAACGGAGCATCGAGATGAGAGCTTTATGCTGTTTGAGTGACTTTGCACAATGCAAAAGGCAATCAGCTGATTGTTAAGTCTTCCTAGAACGCATTTCACATTACAACAACTTCCACTTAACAGAAAGCATATATAAACACACCAGACCAGAACACTGAAGTGCTTAATAATCAATCTTAGAAACCACAAAAAATACTAACTTATATTTTTGTTAAACATTTCTTGCATGCTTTATATAATAACTAAAGTTTAATTAACAAACGCTCCAAGTGTTTGATGGTGGGAAGGGGGTTGCCAAGTTCCTCTTGTTTGTGGACAGTGATTGCATCCTACAGGCAGCAGAACAAGCTCACAGTACTGCTGTCAACAACCACCTCCTGGTCCCCTGCCACAGTACTGAAAACTTATATTCCCAGTACAGCACCTTGTCTCTAACACCTCATCTCCCTTAAATCTGAAATATGAGAATGAAAACTATCTACCACAGCTGCTTTTGAAAGCAGGAGATCAGGGTAGGTGGGCAGCAAGGGAATACATGCACGCCTCCCCCCAGACTTATCTAAAAAGCTGAGTCTGACTCACAAGTATCTTTTATATTTCTATATTGTCTAAAGACATTTAACTAACTTCTGTTCTTCAGAGTAAGGCAATCACGTTTAGAACAGAGGAAGGATTCCAGCTCTTAGAGAGAACTTGCCTGTACTAAATTAGTAAGATTTCCTTGTAATAGACTTTTAACCATAAACGGGCTCTTACTCACCAGTTTAAAAGACTGCCTAAAGCTAGATGGCCAGTCTACTATTCCATTTATAGACGATGAACTTCACCCAATTTTTAGCCATCGGAAATTGAGAGCTTAATACTTCAGAAATTAGGACCTTAACAGCTGCTAGAAGTTGCATCTTCACTTAGCAACAAACAAAAAAAATCCAGAATTAGTCTTGGTTTAGACTATCTGTTTTAAGACACTACACTGACAACAACGTAGACATGCATCCTGTTTATTCAGCAGGCAAGGACGTAACAGCCATCAGAACTGGAAGGCTCTTTTACAGCACCATGACCATATGAGCAAGCAGTACAGTTCAACCTCAGTCCTTGTTTACTGGGTCTTAGTAGGTGGGAGAGGGGGGTGGGGGGTCTACAGAGAAGAAAAAAAAAAAAAAAAAAGAGATGAATTTTTTTTTTTATACTGCAAACATTATCCAATAAACCCTTAAGTACCACACAAAGTTATGTCACCACACAATACTAAAGGACTTAAGTTTAACTAGTATTCCAGGAAACTTTTACACTGTAAACACAATCAACTGAAGCTCTGTTGCTAGAGACAAGCCTTATCTTTTCCAAATTTTCCTTCATTGTGACCCAAAGGAATAAAGACCAATACATGCATGCTTGTGCAGGCTGTGCTGAAGATAACATATTGTTCTAAGTGATCTATGGATATACACTCTCTCATACACATTAGTATCCTTATAGAAACAAAATTCTCAGTGACATACCGAAGAGACTTTGGTTTGCTAGGGAAGACTAAGTAAAAAAAAATAAATATCTCATTCAGCTTAGATAGCTGACAAGCCTTCCAAGGGGCAGGGTAAACTTGGTAAGTTTCTGATCCACTCAACACTTTGGAGTACTTACTTTGTAAGGAGCAATAAAGATTTGACAGAATCTGCGCATATTGTAAGAAGCAACTGAAGGAGTTAATTGACATTTTCCTACCACATACTTTGAGACAAACATAAAACTGATGTGCTGGATCAGACCCAGAGATCCATTAGTCCAGTTTCCTCTTAGACAGAGCACAATATTGGAAGCTTTTGCGAGTGTCCCATAAATTCTGTTTCAGGTCTATGAAGGACAACTGCCCTACCTTTATGGCACACAAAAGCAACTGACTAGGTATCTCCACTCTTAAGTAAGTTAAATTCTTTCCAAAACATTGGTTACAACTGAGATGTATTGATATACAAATGTAAATAAACTCACTATTAATAATAAACTTTGTTTACAAAGTAAGTATTTATTTATGTCAGCTGTAAGGACAAACTTAGATTTTTCCAGGGTAGGTCTGCAAGCTGTGACAGAGATAAGCCATGAAACAAACATGTTTTAAAACGTCGCGGACTCTTTGGAAGGAAGACCTAAACAGAAGCAAGCATTTTTTTAATTTGGGTTTTATTTTAAATAGGGGTTTTTAAAATTTGTTTTTACCTTTTAAATGCTTCAGCAGGGTTCCTCTCACATTCCCCGGGTTGCAAGAGACTTTGAATAGCAGGATCTCTTAGTTTGTCCTCATATCCCTGGATCAGTCCACTGCGGCAGATTTGTGTAACTAAACCTCTAATAAACCCTCCAACACAGAGGGTGTCAGAGTCTTGGGCCCTGCAGAAATGGAAGGCTAGAGCCTGACGATGTAAGCCTCTTTGTAGGTTTGCAGGTGAGCTTGGCCACAGTAGCTCAGTACAGAGGGCCGTCTTCCCACTACCGGGCCCTCCTACCAACAATACACCCCAGGCAGCTCCTTTCCCAGAGACAGCACCAGTATTATTGCCAGAATTCACTACAAGAGATGGTTTGTTGGCAGCACTACTGCTGCAGTTAGCTTTCTCCTGGAGGCAGTGCTGAAGCTTGTGGAAAACCCATTCCCTACAGTAAAACTGCTTTCCCTGCAGCAAGCTGGTTTGAGCCATTTTACAAAGCTTCTTCTCTTGGATTTGTCATAAGCAGCAGTACACCTTCAACATCTCAGAGTAGGGAGACACGCATTCATCTTGCGCAGAAAAGTCTTCTGCACAGAACTTGACAGAGGTTATGGTCATCAGTTAGCCTTTCTCATAACACTTAACAGCCTCTTCTCAGGAAGGGTGTCAATCCATTTGTATGCTTTATTATGATTAGCGTAACACAATCACAGTTCAGCTGACATCATGAAGCGGTGTTTGATACCAATGCTCAACAATACTTCTCATATGGCTCAAAAGTTCACACAGCTCCATGGCTGCATCTGTAGTTTACGCAGTTGTGTGTGTTCCCAGTACACAGGGGAGACAATACATCTGGAAAAACTGAGGGAAAGCCAACTTTTCAGTGTATACTAAATGCCTTTCAACTCCAGGCATTAATCTCTCTGGATATACATCCAGAAAAAGCTGTCCATAATAAAACGTTCCTTCTGGGAATTTTATAAAGAAAGCGATTTTTCTTCAGAGTACTATATACATACCACAAATGTGGATAAGTACCACTTGCTAAGAAACAGTCAGTCTGGACAGCGAGCTTTGCAGACTTCATACATCTGGGCGAGTGTCTGAGAAGTGCTTCAGATTATGGTTTCTTACGCAGTATAGACGACAGGGAAAAAAAATATGTTTACAGCTTCTTATTTCAATACATTTGTAAGCGTCTTCTTCGGGAACTTGGATTCTTACTGAACCTGTTCTCAGGTATCTTAATCGCAAGATGTCAGAAGAGACAACATCTTCCCCTAGAGCTCTGAAATAAAGAAGACAGCACTTTTAACCCTACATGCAAGTCATAATTCAGTCAATTGCAAATGCAGACAACAAAGAGTAAAGTCAAGGGCTCTTATTCTTTATTTTTGCTTACACTATTAAATCAAATTAATCTAAAAAGCTGTTTTAAAGAAATTTGTTACAAAGTAAGATTAGACGCACGTTAAAAAAAAACACAAACCAAACAAAAAACAGATATGACAGTGGCCTCAAAACCACAGGAGCAATCAGCCTTGCATTTTCTCCCGAGGAGAACGGAACATACCCCTTCATCCGAGAAACATTCTTCCTCACAAGCCTTCATCACCCAATTCTCTCTTCACCCCATTTTTCTACTGCCGGCTATGGGCTTTAGGGGTGGGGTTGGTTTATTTTTTTGAAGTTTATTTTACAAGGGAGAGCTGCCGGCGGCTTTCCGCACACTTCTTTGTTCCCGGCTGGCCGGCAGCGGGGCGCCCGGGCCCCCCTCCCCTCTCTCCCCCCGGGTCAGGCTTCCGCCGCCCCCCTCGCCCT